TTTTCTCTCTCTGTTTTTTCACCGACCGTCCCCCATTTTCTCTTTTTTTGGTCTTTTATGTTTGCTTGCCTCCTGATTTCTGGTGAGATGATGATGATATCTAGGTAGAGCCTGGCTTTTTCTGATTTGGTGGGATAGAAATCCCGAATATTTAGGGATTTATTGGTATTTAATTTGGAGTTTAGATTTTGTGAGATTTGAACTGTATATGATATATTTTCTTGATTGGTTTTGCTGTAGATGACAATAGTGAAACAGTTGGGGTCAGACCGGAACAGTGATGGTGGCGGCGTCAGAGGAAGAGAAGGGGAGGCTCGGCTTGAGTGGATGGCGTCTGGGAAGCTGAGGAGTCACACGGCGGCTGGAAGTCCAAACAGAAGCGGCGGCTGAGTAGGGGATTAGGGTTTGAAACCCTAATATGTTTTAGGGTTTGAAACCCTAATCTGCTAGGTTGGGTCTGGGTTAGCAGTGGGCTTCTGGTCTCTGGGCCAATTGGGCTTCGGGTTGTTGTAATGGGTCAGCTGGGTCACTTTGTAATCAGGCCTTAATTTGGCCTGCAAAAATATATGTAATTAATTAATAATAATAAATAACGATAATAATAATAATAATAATAAAAAAAGACCCGAACAAAAACAGGTGTCTACACAAACCATCTTCACAGGTCAAACTAAAGGATCTTACTTGGTGTTCTGCACTTATGGCCTCATATTTAAATCACGTGCCCGACACAAAAACTAAATTTAGTATTAAAAAAACCTTTCTTTTTATTAAGTTATTAAAAAAGCCCACCTTAAATCTGTAAAATCTTTAACATGTCAGATTTTCCAAACCCCTGTCTCGTTTTCATTCACGTTATTCTGCTCTCTTTACTGCCATTGAAGATCACCTGTTCAGCAGGAACACAAGCGGAGGCACTCATCCGATGGAAGAACACATTGCTTTCTTCATCACCTTCGCTCAACTCATGGTCGCTGTCCAATCTCAACAACCTCTGCGACTGGACTTCCATTACATGCGATGATGCCACTGCAACCGTCTCCCAAATCAACCTTTTCAATTCAGACATGTCCGGTTCCATTTCTCAGTTCAACTTCACCCCATTCACCAGTCTCACGCGCTTCGACCTCAAAAACAACACCATGGATGGCCCGATACCGGCTTCTATCGGTACTCTGTCCAAGCTGCTTGTGTTGGACTTGAGCAGCAATTCTTTCCAAGGCGAGCTACCGGTGGAGATGGGTGGTTTAAGGGAACTTCAATATCTGAGTTTATCCAACAACAATCTCAGTGGAGCGGTTCCTCCTGAAGTTAGCAATCTCCAAAATGTAAGACACCTCGACCTCGGACACAACTACTTTGTTTCTTCAGACTGGTCCGGTTTCTTGTCCATGCCATCGTTGACGTACCTCAGTTTAGCTAACAATGCACTCGAATCAGAATTCCGTCGGTTTATATTCGACTACCGTAATCTTATTTTCCTATATTTCTCGTTGAATAGATTGATTGGTCCAAAACCAGAATCACTTTTCACAAATCTCACCAAGCTTGTGTCTCCCAATCTCACTGATAATGCCTTTGAAGGGACTATCTTCCAATATTTCTATGCTTTCAAAACTCGAATATCTTCAATTAGGAACCAATGAGTTAAATGGTTCGATTCCTGAGAGAATAGGAACCATATCTGAGCTGCAAACTGTTGAACTGTTTGAAAATTCTTTTGAAGGGGAGATTCCATTGGAACTGGGAAATCTGAGCCTGTTGTTCAACCTCTATTTGAGGCAGAACCGTCTCACAGGTAACATCCCCCTGTTTGTTGGCAACTAGGTGAGGTTACAGTTCCTTGATCTCTCGGGAAACTGATTGATAGGCGAAATACCAGTAGAGCTTGACAACTGCGAGAAACTATTGAGCTTGAACTTGAGTCACAACATCTTATCTGGTGAAATTCCAAGTGAGCTTGGCAGCTTATCTGCTTTGCAGTTTTTGCTGGATCTCAGCAGCAATTCCCTCTCAGGCTCAATACCTCAAGATTTGAGGAAGCTTGTATCATTGGAGAACTTAAACGTTTCACACAATGGTATCTCTGGCAGAATCCCAACTTCATTGTCCTCCATGATTAGTCTCCAAAAATTCGATTTCTCGTACAATGAGTTAACAGGACCAATTCCGAGCGACGGTGTATTCGAAAAAGCTTCTGGAAATGCTTTTGTTGGAAATCCAGGCTTGTGTGGAGATGTTGATGGATTGATACCTTGCAGTTTAAGTCCTATCAACAACAGGAGGGTTCTTCTTATAGCTATCCTTGTTCCCATCTGTGGCATACTAACTCCAGCACTGATTGCTGCTGGAGTGATTGTGCATTGCCGTCGACAAAACCGAACGCTTGACGAAGAGATTAAAGTTAGTAAAAAAACCGAGTTTTCTGAGTCTAGCATTTGGGGAAGCGAAGGAAAATTTACACTTGGTGACATTGAAAGAGCCACTGAGGGGTTTAATAAAAAGTACTTGATTGGTAAAGGGGGATTTGCAAGTGTTTGCGGAGCAGAATTGCCCTCAGGCCAAGTAGTTGCGGTTAAAAAACTCAATTACATCACCACATTAGTAATTAAATAAATAGTAGAATAATATATTTTTATTCTCATTTTATATTGTACAATTAGTTTATCACCATATTTAGTAATAATTTAATAATTCAATATAATCTTTACTATTTTAAAAGACTATCTCTATACCCAATAATTTCTATATCATTCCAAAATAATATAAAAAATAAATTGAAATAAGTAAATATATATATACATATATTATGTATTTTTTTTAAATATAATAAATGATGATTGGTTATAACAAAAGTAAAAAATTGTTGAGGGTTAATACTACAATCAATCCTAAGATTTATAAAGTTAATTCATACTTCCAAATATTCTAAGTTGATTTAATTAATTTAAACTAAAACTTTTAGCATCAAATTTGGGATGTGACAATATATGGTCACATAAATTTTCCGAATTACAAATTATAAAGAGCAACACCGATGATTAAGAGGACAAAAAGAGAAGACGGTTGACCTAAACAGAAACAACCCGAATTAACTTGAAAATCTAAAGGTCGATTTGAACCAAAACCAATCTGAATTGACGCGAATATCTAAAGCTTGACCCAAACCCAAATCAACCGATCTGATATCGACCCGACTCGAAATCAATCGATCTGAGATTAACCCATCCGACCACCAACCGATCTGATTTTGACCCAACCCGAAAATCAATCGATCCGATCTTGACCCGACCCGAATTGAATTTCCATTGACCCAAACTAAATCCGAACCTGTTATGACCCGAACCAAACCGGACCAAATCCAAACCGAATGTAATCCTAACCCGAAATAACCTGATCCAAAACGACCTATCCGAATGACCCAATTGCGACCTCTATTGAATCCAACTGGACCACGGTTGCTGGCTCTTATGAGTCCATGGCACCAGGTTAGCATGACGGTATCTTTTCCTTTTTTAAGCCGGGATGTGATTGTTGACGTTGTTTAATGTTGTCGGTCTTCCAGAGCTTGCACTCCCAATGCGGATCACAAGTAAATGTGATGTTTACAGCTTCGGAGTGGTGGCTGTTGACTAAGCACCGAAAGGTACATATTAAATGCACCGAAAAAAATGAGCTGTTTTGTTGATTTTTTGGACAATGGCTAAATCATAATTTAGTCATTAAACTTTAGGGTATTTACAAATTAGTCCTTAGTTTTCAACTATAAATACCCTAGCTCATTTAGCTTCAAAAGCATCTCAAAGCATTCTAGCTTTCTTCCAATACTAGAGAGATTTTAGAGAGTTTCTTGAGAGTTGTTTTCTCCTTTTTATCTAGAGAGAATTATCATTGTTTTCTCTTTGGTAGATCGAGAGAGGTTGTAATTCCTATTTTCTCATAGTGAAATTCTTCTACCGTTGCCCGTGGTTTTTACCCTAAATATTTTAGGGGTTTTCCACGTAAATTTTGTGTCTCTTTTATCTTCAATTTTATTTTCTCAAATTATCAGTTATGATTTTTTTCTATCCGATAGCCGTCTTCCACAACAGTGGCATTGTAGATTATGATGGGTAAGCACCCAGGGGAGTTGTTGTCATCAGTAACACCGTTATCAGACAATAAGGATTTGTATCTCAAGGATTTGCTGGACCAACGGCTTCCACTTCCTAGTAACAGAACAGCACACAAAGTTGCATCGGTTTTCGCAATAGGTTTGGCGTGCAAACGTCCGGTGCCGGACTCAGGACCTGCGATGCGCTCCGTGGCACAACAATTATCTACAAGAAACCAGCCTTGCTTGGGTGAGACGTTGAGAACAACAACCATTAGCAGCCTAATTAGCTTTGGGAGATAGAACAAGAACAAGTAAGGTTTCATCTAGGGACAGACAAAGGTCTAGTTTTTTTCCTTAGTCGTCAAACATGGCATTGCTTAATTTCCTATTCAACTATTATTACTTTTGCAAAATTCTAAAACCTATAAGTTAAATTATACTCTTTCACCCAATAATAAAATTGCGAGAATAATTAAATGATTAAATATGTAATTTATTTTTTTAATAATATAGAATAGATAATATTTGTTCAGATTTTTTTTATATAAAATTAAGTTATTCTTTAACTTTTGAAAGCATTTTAAGTTTTAGAAAAAAAGCTCATAAAATAATTTAAAACTTATTTTTGACCATCTAAATTATTTCTTAAAGTCCTTAGATAAATTTTAAAGTAAAATATAAATTAACAACACTTATAGAAAGAAAAAAAAATGAAAGAAAGGGATTGAGGATACATTGTAGTTATTATTGTCGTTGTAATCATCATTGATATACAAAAATATAAGTATTTTTTTACTTATAAATGGGAAATCCAAATATATTGATTAAATTGTTATTGTTAATCATTATAATTCTCCCACCAATAAAGACATCGAATTTCCCTATTTAATAGATCACACATAAATAATTAAAATAAAATAAACACACATGTAGATTATATGGAAACAAAAAAATAACAACACGGGCAATACATATATGTTTTTTCATTGGGGTTACGCCTTGTTCAAAGCTCTCTCCAATCTTTTCTCAAATGGAGTAGAATGCCAATTCACTTTCTTATCCTGCATGCACCCAAATGAAACTCCATCAAAACCTATCATCCCTTGATGCAGAACGCGACAGGAAAAGCTTAATGTTACCTCTCTGTACTTGCTGGTACTGTTTGGTATTCCTTTGAAAGAAGCAGCTGAGTCCTTAATGGTGGTGCTCTCATGATTCCAATAGCTTCCCACCGTTCCGATTATCGGCATCTCCTCCGGGCTCCTACTTGGAGACCTTCTTGGTGCAGATGATGCTGAGAACTTGTTGATATCTTCCATAGTTAATGCACCCAAAATCGGCCTATCTTCGGGGCTCATCTTCGTCGGAATCGAACCTATTGAGACGCTCCTCTCCGGCGTACACGCATCCAATGTGCTACTCTTTTTCGCCGGTGTAGTTTCTCTAGAAGACAACCAATTGGAAAGGCTGGCATCAACTGAAACTTCTTCACTGAAACTGAAAGATCGATCCTTGGAACTATGGTCCAAGCTAGTCGAAAGCCGGGGCTCTTCTTGTTCCAAGCTGAGATTCTCCTTTTGCAGCTTCAATGGTGTTGAACCTTTGGATTTTACAGCTTTCCATTGATCTAGATTTTCGACCGGCTTCAGCACCGGATGAACATCGCCGTCCCTACCCGCTCTAACGACTCGAATCAAATCGATGGGCTTCGATTCTTCAATATCATCCTCTTCATCGCCGATATCACTTTCTTCGTAGTCCAATTCATCGTCTTCTTCATCATCACTTTCTCTACAATTCTGATACCTATGATTAGGAGGGTAAGAACTTGAGCTAGACTCTGAGGAATTCTCAGACTCCCTTGGTTTAGCCAAATTCTCCTCTTCTTTCTCCTTCAATTTCTTTTCCTCTTCCTCTTCACCATGCAAATCAAAATCAGTACTTTCATCAACCAAAACATGTTCATATGTCTTAATATTAGCATCAAAAGTTACTTTCTTTCGAGAACCCGAACCAAGCTGCTCCTCTGCCTTATCATCTCTAAACCCCCAAATCAAAACCCCAAAAAGAGATTGTATCAAAATCTAATCCATCGTTTCAAACAGAAAAAAAGGAATTAAACATAATAAACCCAATAATTTTACTCACCTAACTCCCTTGATAGGGGTTCCCAAGCTGCTCTGTTCTAAAGAAACTGTAGATTGATCATTGTAACTAAAATTTCTCTGAGGAGAAAAAAAAAAGACCCTGAAATCATAAGCTTCATGCGACTAAAAATACCCAAATAAAGTAAAATCAGTACATTCCCATAAAGAAAGAACAAAAAAAAAAACTTACTTGTGATGGATATTGAACCCTGTGTCTGCGTTTTCGATTCTTTCGGTCTTTGGAGGAACCAAAACATGCAAGAAAACATCCCATTGCAAGAATCTCTGTTTGATTCTTGAACAATAAAAAAAGAAAACCTTTACTCTGTCTTGGGTTTTCTTTGTTGGCGTTAACAATGGTGGGTTCTCATGGTTTTAGAGCAGAGAGAGGGAGCGTTTTGAGAGAGAGAGATCGGACATAACAGTTTTTAGGTTTTGCTTTTTGGTTCGTTAATATTATTTTATAAACTTGTGAGAGAGGGAAAAAGGAAGTGACCGTTACGAACCATGATTGTGGATTACATTTTGTTAAAACTTAGAAAAATAATTGTAATAAATAAATAATAATAAACCTATCTTGACCGTTAATATATTGATATTATCCCCCACGTCACGTCACACATTTTCCTTTCTCTTTGTTATTAATTAAAGTCAAAAGAGTAATTTTATCCTCATAATAGACTTAATTTATCACTTTTGATGTTATTATATTTTCGCGTTAATTTAGTCATTGAAATTATTTAATTGTATCATTTTATAATCTTTCTCCCAACTTAAAATCTCAAATTATAATCTTTAAAGCCTAAACCATAACTCTTTTATCTCTAAATATTAACTTAGGGTTTTAAGTTAAAAGAATGACATAAAATGTTACAATTAAACAACTTTGATGATTAAATTAATGTGAAAATACAATAGAGCTAAATTGATAAATTTAATCTACTAAAGGATTAAAAATGACCCTTAAACCTTAAAAAAGTATAAAAAACTAAGTCATGAAACATTTTTTATTGTAATTTGATTTCAGATTTTCTTCTTAATCAATACAGGTCGATTCCCATCGTATATCTTACTTTGTTAGGTGAGTCTTTTAACGCTATTTTCAATATACACAAGGACTCGAAATCGAGATCTTAAATAATGTGAAACTATTTACCACTTAAACCAATTAGATTCATCGAACATTTTAAAATATTATCTTCTATTAAATTTAAATAGTTTAGATCTTATCTAAGTGTTATTCGCTCTCTTTCTAAATAAAGTAATATAGATATTTGTATTTTAATAAATGTAATATTTGTTCTTTGATAAAACATTAAATGTGATATATTTATTTTAATGAAATATTAAACGTAATATTTATATTTTTAAAATATTTAAAACATTTAATATAATATCTATATTTTTAAAATATTTAATTTCATATTTAATTTTTTATTTTATATATTATTATAGTGTTTTAGCAATATTTATAAATATCGTACTCAAACTATTATTTTGTTTGTATATTAATTAATGTGATACTTGAATCAAATTATTAGTAAATATCAAAATAGTCAATGATAAGATAAATACGGCATTAAACATTTGATCATAATATAAATGTAATATTAAATATTTGATTAAAAATTGGGTAAAGTATAGTAATGGTCACTAAACTTTTCTAAACCTTTCATTTAGGTCCCCAACTTTTAAAACTTACAATACATTCCCCCAACATTTAGTCTGTTTGCAATATGTTCCCCAACAGTTACGTCAGGGACCATATTGCAAACGGACTAAATGTTGAGGGATTATATTGCAAGTTTTAAAAATTGGAGGACCTAAATGAAAGCTTTAGAAAAGTTCAGTGACCATTACTATACTTACCCATATTAAAATTATATTTTTGAGCAAGTTTTGTTGTATCCTCTCAATTATTTTTTTGGTTGTAGATCAATTAATACTCGTTGAAAAGAAAATATTTAAATTATTTTCATTTGTTTTTAAAGTCTATTTAAAAGCATATACATAGAATGCTTGGTGATGAGTGACTTGCAAGCCAAGTCAGTGAAGAAATTTGTATAAAGCTTTGCAAACAAACCTGGGAATTTTATTATCAAATCAAAGCAAAGTAAAGCAAAGCAATGAATGCCTTCAACTGTGATAGCATCAACAAAGCAAAACCACCACCTTCATTCTTCACAAACCAACTAAACAATTTGATTGCCTTCAACGGGAACTGTACTAATCTGCAAGGTTCTACCATCTCCGATAAACCGAATACAAGGCAATGAAGGATCTATAATGGATTCGATCTCAAGAAAATCAAAATCATATGCACCAGAATGTTTCAAACTAAATGCAGAAACTACTGCAATCCATATCCCACCATGGAAGCTGCCCAATAACTGGTCATCCCATGAATCAAGCCCCAATCTATAGCATACCCCACAATGATTCCAGATAAATGTCCAACAAAACTTGCTTGCGGAACAATTATCCAAGTGAAAATCAATGACTCGAAAGGCGCAAAACTAATAGGAAGCGAAAGGAATCCAAAGAGATCCAACTTTGTTGAAGGTTGCTTCACAGACAAAACCGTCATCCATCCAAAAACAACACAAGAATAACCGACAGCAGTCACTCACCGGAAATACTCAATCTTAAACCGCTGAATTAATAAATGGTACATTCCCAACACGAGCAACCCCGACACAGCTACCAAAACAAGTGTGTAATGAAGGTAATAAGCCACTCCAAGGCCTAAATGGCCTAATTGTTCAACAACACCAAGACTCCAAAGGGCACTCATATTGAAAAAAAGATGAAGAACAATTACTCTCCAATATTGCCCTTCCAACGCCGTTTCGTAACTTAAACCGACATGCTGATAACCAATGTTCTTCTGGATGTAATACCACATTCCACTACAGATTCCTATTATACAACTTGTTGCTGGTTTTTCCAATATCTCATAAAACAATGGATTCCCCATCACTACTTAAACTAAAAAAATTCCTTCAACTTCTCTTTTTTCAGCTTTATTCAATCTAAAGAGAAAAACCCAACATTAAAATACAGTTAAAATTCATGAGCATATTAATTCTTAAGATAAAATCGTCACTTTTTTTTAGCACAAATCAATCAATAAATTTTGACAAAATTTTCAGGTAAACAAAACCTTGCACTGAATCAAAAACCAGATTTGAAATTCCCAAAACAATTTCAAATATTCATGTCAATATATAACAATGAACGGCTATATGAGGACTGGGCTTTTTCACGGTAGATCAAATGGCTGCTTCAAGCAGGAGAAATGAGAGAATTTAAAGAGATTTTAGTTCATACAGAAAAGAAAATAGGGGAGACAAACGATCTTACTTTCTCTTCTTTGGCCGTAAATGGATTCACGATTTCTGGTTGCCTCCCCCAGAAAATAATTATTCAATTTGATCATTAAAACAATATATGTCGGAGATCTGGACTGTTTTTCCTACAAAATTTTTTTGTTTCTTGGATGAATTACACAAATATTTACTTACCTTAGAGTAAGTTTTTGTTTTTGTTAATACTATTGCCACGTTAACTCCATAAGTAAATTGCCCCAAATTATTATTAGGGTAAAGTATAATAATGGTCACTAAACTTTTCTAAAGCTTTTATTTAGGTCTCCTAACTTTTAAAACTTGCAATATAGTCCCTTAACATTTAGTCCGTTTGCAATATTGTCCCTCAACATTTAGTCCGTTTGCAATATGGTCCCCAACATAACTGTTGGGGGACCATATTACAAATGGACTAAATATTGAGGGACTATATTGCAAGTTTTAAAAGTTGAAGGACCTAAATGAAAGCTTTAGAAAAGTTTTGTGACCATTACTATACTTTACCCTTAAAATTTTTATCAAGTGATTTCAATAGTTAGAGTAAATGTTTTTCTTCTTATAAGTTTTAGGTTTGAGTAGTCACATATGTAAGATATATACACTGCCAAAAAATATAAATACTACCTTAAAAATATATGATAAAAAGATAATTAAAAAGATAATTTTATCTATTTTCCAAATACACTAATAGATAATTTTTATTTATTTACATTTCCCCCTAAAATATAAAATAAAACTGTTTATTGTTTATGTAGATCAAACATTGATTATATGCCAAGATCGGAAGCATATTAATGAATAATTAATACATAGATTTCAGGAAAAGGAAATTATATAAGGTTGTTCAAAACAATAATTAATTAGGAGTATTATGAAAATAATATACTTAAATTAGTTTACTTATGTTTCAAGAGATAAACGAAGGAAAAAGTAAAAGCATGGGGTGAGAGAGGCTCGAACTCTCGACCTCAGGATAACTCAAACAGCTATGAGACCTACGCGCTAGCCAACTGCGCCACCACCGCGCTGTTCATGGCACTGATTATCACTTTATATAAATAATATTAATTTGTTGGATTAGTAATATATCAATAAATTTTAAAATTGAACTCTTTAACTACGAATGGTGGGTACATAAATATTAACGATATAGAATTTTTTAAATGGGATAACTATAAATATAATTTTAGGGTGAATAGAATTCATAAAATAAATAATTAATCGAAAAAAATTTAAATTTTAAAATAGACACTATTAATAAAATAAATAATTAAAGAAAATTTAAATTTCGAAGTTGACACATGCTCACGTTTACCAAGATGTTACTCCACCACTGACTACGACCTATTTGTTCATTTCTAGAAAACATAAAATTATGTTGATTTTGTTGGTTCTGGAAACACCAGAAAGAAAAGAGTGCATAAACTTTGATGAGAAAGTAATTTAACTACTAGAAAATCATATGCCTTTTGCTCAGAAAATAGATAAAAAAAATCATGTAGACCAAATAGTTGAGTATAAGGTTACTACATGGATATGGTCATTTAACTATGACCAAATAGTTGGTAATTTATCTGTGTTTTGTCCACTTTTAATCATTGATTTCAGAAAATATAAAATGTGGTCGTTTTTATTTTTCTTTAATTAAGATATAGTCATTTTTTTATTTAATTAAGATGCAGTCATCCCGAGTTAATTGTCGTTAACAACAGTTAAATATTTTTTTTATATAATCAAACATTTGGTCTATGCTATTTACATATTCTCTCAATTTATTAATACTTTTAATAAATTAAAATAAATTTAATCCTCCAACCGAATGATGTCACATTCATGCCAGTAATGTTCTTCAAAAATACCCGACCCTATTCAGCTGACCCGTCTACCCGCTGAACCAGTTAAAAAATATAGGGTATTTATATAAAAATATTTGATTTTCCGAATCGGGTACTTGTTCGAGTTTCTGAGTCGAGTATGAGTCACAAAATATTAGTTAACCGGGTACCCTCCGACCCGGTACCCGATTTATTATATACTTTTT